ATGTAAGTAGAAAGGAAAGGAAAACCAGGAAATAGGAGAAAAGATGAAAGAAAGAGGAGATAAAAGGGAGACAATGATAAAACGTCTTCAGTCTGCTTCATCACCTTCAAAGAGATGTAAAAAGAACAGCACAACCAACAGATATAGAATATACAATAAAGTAACACGTTGATACTATCGCTGAAGTATAAGTGGTAGTATCCAATCTGACATGTATACTGTGGTAGCTGAAGATAAGAATATAAGCTTTCTGTATGGAAGTGAATCTCTAAGTACCTGGAAACAAGAACCTGTAGTTGTTTGTGAGAGTGCACTTGTTTAGTTTATCTAAAGGAAAAATGCTCAATAGTGGTTGTGAAGAGCCTAAGACCCGCCCCCCCCCCAGAGCACCAAGGAAAACATCTCCCAGATAGGAAGCCTGTTAATTAACAGGGTTGTTTTAAAGAGTAGCTTTTTCCAAGTGGAGATGGAAACCCATATGGATTTGTTTATAATAATTTTGAGGCCGGAAGCATCCAACAAATTTTGGATGAATTTCATGACAATTGATCTTTGATTAGAATCTTTCAGAAAAAATGTAGGGATAATAATAATATGATATAATAATATAATAATAAACATGTCTTTATCTGCAACTGAAATGCCATGGATATTGTATTTAAGAATATTTGTTGCAAGAAGTGGAGCAGGAATTGGAAATAAATGTGGGGAAACCAAGCAATCTGTTTTAGATAAAAAAAAGTGCCATGCTTAAAAAAAAATGATTCTTGATAATTTACCATTTCTAAACAAGGTCAGGATGGATTTAATAAAAAAAAAAACTAGCCAAAACCCAATGATTTCAGAAACTCAGTGAATAAAACAATGGATTAAATAATTTAAGGCCTTATAAAAATCTTACAAAAGTCTTTAACTGTTTGCGATGGTTCTGTGGGACATAAAGCCAGGCAAAAATCTATCAGTAGGGTTAGTGGCTCTTGTAATTTTTGGGGGGTTAAAATAATGGCAAGCATTTTATTATCATTATTAAGTAAACAAATAGGTATCCAGTCATCAATGAGTAATTTGTCTTTAACAGCTGATATATGAGTAATGATGCCTTGAATCCGATTTGGTGGTAATTCTCTGTGATATTTTCAGAAATGAAAATTAAAAAAAAGGGCCTAAGGTTTACAAATTTCTTATATAGCTCAATTGATACCTACTAGCTGACATGTTATTTTCAAGACTTAAAGGAAAAGTCCCGTCAGCAAGGAATGATTATTGGATCATTATTTATACCTAAAACTAATACCTTTGTGCTGATTTAAAGAATTTAATTTTAACGTTAAAAAGATACAAATAATAATTTTCGTTGCAATCACTGAGTCCAGGACCATCCATTTTTGCCCAAATATCTTAAAACCTCAATCCTGACATCTTCCAGCAGTGACATCAAGGTGCGGTAAGCCTAGCTCCATTCTCCCTGCTTTACAAGCAAAATCAATGGGAACTACTAGACACATCTGCAATCAACAACAATTATTTAAGATGTCAAGAGAACTTCACCATGGAAATTTGCAAGAGCTACAGTTAAACTGACAATGCCTGGGCAATTTGGGCATTGAAAAAAAAATTTGTTATATCACCTTTTCGATTCATGGTCCTCCACGGGTTGGTCATTGGATTGCCAACTGGAAGAGAAAGGATTTGCCATCGAACTTCTGGCCAGAGAAAAAACGTAATATGTAAACACATTTTGAAAAACAATGTTTTCAAGATAACCTGGAAAAAAGCATGTTGTAACAAACACCAGATACAGCACTGGGAATTGCTCAACAGCCGATACTGATAGTTGGCAGCAGAGATAGGAAGTAACGAAGTACAAATAATTCGTTACTGTACTCAAGTAGATTTTTCTGATATTTTTACTT